GGAGGCTGCATAGGAGTATCAGACCATGCAAAGGGCTCAGAGGCAGAGGTTTCAGGGGTTAATGCAGGGAGGGAGCACCTTAGTCCCATGTGCTTTATAACAAAACCCTATGCATAAAGTTGCAAATTTTGCAGGGATGCCATTTTAGTGAAACAAAAACTAGAAAAATTTTACTCCTTAGATTGACAGAGAAGCAATGAGTCATACTGTAGCCACAGGGAAATAGATGAAAGAAAGAATTACCCACTAGAAACTGGAAGCCCACGCTTATATATGAGGTCCGATTTCAGGCTAGCCAATGCTACATACTGTTAATATACAATTGATGTAACCCATAGGGGCCAGAAGAGGCAAAAGAAAACTCATTCTGAACAACTAGAGCGTACACAGGAAATGAACCGCAATGAAGGAGAGTCCTTCTGTACTAAGGATAGGAAAATTAGCTTCCCAGTAGCTGGAATTGCAAGAAAAGTCTGAAAGAGTCTATAAAACACCGATGAAGCCGGGCGCGGTGGCTCAAGCCTATAATCCCAGCACTTTGGGAGGCCGAGGCGGGTGGATCACAAGGTCAAGAGATCGAGACCATCCTGGTCAACATGGTGAAACCCCGTCTCTACTAAAAATACAAAACATTAGCTGGGCATGGTGGTGCGTGCCTGTAATCGCAGCTACTCAGGAGGTTGAGGCAGGAGAATTGCCTGAGCCCAGGAGGCAGAAGTTGCGGTGAGCCAAGACCGCGCCATTGCACTCCAGCCTGGGTAACAAGAGTGAAACTCCGTCTCAAAAAAAACACCGATGAAAGAAGATACAGAAATCAGAAAGCAAGAGGAGGTTGGTAGGTAAGAACAGGTGGAATTGGAAGAAAAATAAAACACATAGACATGAAAAGTCTAGTGATTTAAATTAAAACATATTGGAAGATTACTAAGTAGTTTAGATAAAGCTGAAGGGAGAAGGGAAATTAAAAACCTGGAAGAGATTTGGGGATGTGGAAGATAGAATGAGATCGATATAGAGATATTACAGATAGAAGTTCCAGGAGAAGGAGGAATAGAGAGCGGAGTTGAGGCAGGAATCTCAGTGTTTTCTGTAAGTGAAGATCAACAAACCTTCAAGCTATTGTAGCTTTCCAGACCTGAGCAGCTGAACAGGATATAAAAACAAACCTCTACCCAGTCATACTAAATATTGTCATGAAACTACAGCCCATCAAAGACAAAGGGAATTATTGCAAAAGCAACCGGAAGGAAAAGACAGATTCCCTGCAAAAATAAAAAAAAGGCAAACTGAGTAAGCTTCAGTGCTGATGACAAGAGGAGACAGGAAAATCAGAGTTGTGTGTTCTGAAGTGCTTGCATTGTTCAAAACAGGGGTTAAATTATTTTCTAACTTTTGGCCTTGTCAAATATGCAGGCTAGAAATGTAAGGGTGACCACTAAAATAAATAATGCAGTATTCCTCTCAACCAAAAAAAAAAAAAAAAAAAGCAAAGAAAAAGCCTGATAAACAAGAAGCATAACATAAATGACAACATACGTATGTTTAAATGTCACTGTATATTAATTACCCATACATATCTATGGAGCAACAGTATAAATATAAGACTGGAAAGTTGTTTCTTTTTTACAGAAGGGGAAGAATGGGGAGTATAAGGAATTTGTATTTGAGATTTTTTTCTTTTATGAAAATCGGAAGCAGTTATCGTAGTTAGGCCTGCTCCTGACATTTGCAGGACTTGGCATAACACTACCAACAGAGACCGTGAACCATGCGTAAATATGTGAAACTATAAATCAAGCTAGCAAAGAATTCTGTGCTTTTATGATGACACCTTCATAAAGTCTGGTGCACTTCCTGATTCCTCGCTTACTTGAAGGCCTTAGTCGGGACAAGGCAGCCTGGGAAAGAGCTCACTTCCTGGACACCCCCTCTTTGCTTCAGAACCCCAGCTCTGCCCTGCACTCTGAGGGCATCTGCACACGTGTGGTATGGTGGACATCCTAGCCCACACATCCAGTTTCTGTTCATATACCATGCAAAAAGCACCCCTTGGCCACCCCCACAGGCCTGGGGTGTGCACATATGGTCTGCTTTTAGGGGGCTGGAGCTCAGGATGAAGTTGAGTTAGCCTTAAATGCAGGCCTGGGGGTCACTGAGGAGGGACTTCTAAGGTCCCAAATAACCGAGGTGGTGGAGGCAGGCCTGGGCAGGGGGTGGATGTACCTCCTCAGCTGTGGACCCCTCACCATGTGTGGAAAAAGGGCTGTGGGACAGAGTGGGCCTCTGAAGCAAGGAGTCGCGTTTTTAAACAATATTTCATTATAGGCCGAGCACGGTGGCTCACGCCTGTAATCCCAGCACTTTAGGAGGCCTAGGTGGGCAGATCACCTGAGGTCACAAGTTCGAGACTAGCCTGGCCAGCATGGCTAAACCCAGTCTCTACAAAAATACAAAAATTAGCAGGGTGTGGTGATGTGCACCTATAATCCCAGCTACTCGGGAGGCTGAGGCAGGAGAATCGCTTGAACTCTGGAGGCGGAGGCTGCGGTGAGCCAAGGTTGTGCCACTGCACTCCAGCCTGGGCAACAGAGCAAGACTCTGCCTCAAAAACAAAAATTAAAAAAAATCATTATTAAAAAAAGAGAGAGAAAAGCATACAACACCCCAGACGGCATCTGCCAGCACGGGAGCCCTGCCAGCAAAGCCCCATCTGATCTTTGTCAAGTTATTTGATACAGCTGAGTCTGTTCTCTCACCTGCCTGGTGAGAGAACAACATATGTGATTTCAACGATCCTTCTCACTTCTGAGGATCTGTGACATTCTCATAAGCCCCATCACAAGGAGGAGCTTCTGGGATGCCCAGGGTGGTTCAGGAGGCATGTACCTATGGCCCAGGGGTGTGGGGGCAGAGCGTAGTCCTGCATGGTCCCCAGCTTCTGAGGAAATAATGTATTAGGTGCCTTTTATGTCCCCATGTGGGGCCTGGATGGTGAGGGTACCCTGGGGCCAGGCAGCGGGAAGAGCGCCCTCTGAGCACAGTGCCTTTTATTTTGTGCAGGAGTCACGGCCAATGCTGGGCACATGTTAGACAGGGAGGACAGGCCCTTCTTTATACCTGCCACATTCTGAAACCAGGCAGCACAGGGAGCTGCAGACAGTCGATGATGTCAGCTACACAGAGGGACAGGTGCCACGGGCTCACTCCTGTGTCTGCACATCTGTGCCGTCCAGGGCAGTTGCTCAGCTGGACCCAGTGAGATTAATTTGGCCTATGGAAGAGGAGAGGGGAGGAGAACCAGTGTGAAAGGATGGAGAAAGTATTTTTCTTCCTTAGCTGTGAGACGTTTTGCCGAGCTTAGCTAGCTGAGGCTCACCCTTAATTGGCAATGAATTAAACATTGTTATTTCAACCAAGGGGATCAGAAATGCTCTCTCTTGGAAATTCAAAATGAACTTCGGCTCAAAGAACTGTGAAGAACAGCCAGGGCCTCACTTCTTTTTCGATGGCCCTGGGGGAAGTAGGCGGCCTGCGGTCATGGGAGGGGCCTCCTCAGGCTCCAGACTAACGATTGGGGTTGAAGGGGTGGTACATGGGATCCAAGGACCTGCGGCTTCTACAACTCCATATGTCCTGACGTTCCCACAAACGCAATGGGGCTGTATTCGTCTGCCTGGGCTGCCGCAATAAGGTACCATAGACTGTGTGGCTTAAACAGCAGAAATGGATTTTGTCACAGTCTGGAGGCTGGAAGTCCAAACTCGAGCTATCTACAGGTTGGTTTCTCGTGCGGGCTCTGTCCTTGGCTTACAGGTGGCTGCCTGCACCACGGTCTTCCTTCATCTCCCATTCCTATTAGGACAGCACCCATGCTGGATTAGGGCCATCCTAATAACCTCATTTCACCTTAATGACCACTTTAAAGGCCCTATTTCCAAATGCAGCCCCATTCTGAAGCCAGAGAGGTGAGGACTTCAACATGTGAATTTAGGGGCGACACCATTCAGCCCATAATCTATTATGCCTCGAGGGCACTGGCAAACTCCTGTAATGACAAGCAAAATGACAGCCTGGTAGTAAAAATCAAAGCACTTTGGCCTGCCTGGGCAGTTTTCAAGCACTCCCTTTAGGTTTATAGAAATAAACAGGTTGGGCATGGTGGCTCACACCTGCAATACCAGCACTTTGGGAGGCCAAAGCGGGAGGACCACTTGAAGCCAGGAGTTTGAGACCAGCTTGGGCAGCAAAGCAAGGCCCTGTCTCTACCAAAAAAAAAAAAAAAAAAACAAAGTTTAAAATTAGCCAGGCATGGTGGTGCACACCTGAGGTCCCAGCTACTCAGGAGGCTGAGGTGGGAGAACTGCTTGAGCCCAGGAGCTCCAGGCTGCAGTGAGCTGTGATTGTGCCAGGCACTCCAGTCTGGACGACAGTGAGATCCCCATCTTTTGAAAAAATAGAATAGCCAAGCTCCACATTTCTTCACAACAGCGGCAACCTTGAAGGGAGTAGGTTCAGGAAAGGCAGGGATTGCTCCTTAGCCGTGTGTTTTAGGAGAAAAGTTGCCTTGATTTTCATTGGGGGTCCAAATAATCAAGTTCTGCGGAACGCAGCGGGCCTGTGGCTGGGGTCCCGAGGCCTCGGCGGGGCTGTCACCCCGTGCAGTGCAGGGGCTGCAGGCAGGAGCGAGGCGCGGAGACGCTCACCCTGAAACAGGCCGCCCCTTGCGGAAATGCCCTGGGAAGCCCAGCGTCCCGCGGGTATGGACCGGGCACATGCGCCCCTCCGCGGGGAGGGGGCGCTGGCTGAGGGAGGGGCTGGAAACCGCGTCTTCCACAGCGGGGAGCCAGCCTCGAGGCGCCCAGATGGCATCTGCTGGCAATCAGGGGCAGCCGGTGAAGCACCACGCCTTCCCCCACCCCCCACCCTAGTCCGTCTGTCTCATTGTACCACCCGAGTGTGGCGGGGACCCGAGACTGACGCGCTGGCTTTATCATCCGCAGGCTGAATGAGCGCGACCGCCTGATCAAGAGGCTGGGCCGGAAGACGCCCCCGACGCTGTTCCGGGGCAGCTCCCTGCAGCAGGGCGTCCCGCGTGAGTGCAGCGGGGGGGCGGGGGCGCTGATGGAGTTGTGGGTGTCGGTGGGGGCGGGGGCTGGTGGGGACCGGGTGGGTCCTGATGGGGGATGGGGGCGGGGCCGCCTTGGGAAGTAGAACTTCAAAATGTGTATTTGGCCCCAGGAACGTGCAGCTTGAGTGTAGGTAATGCCCTGGGACCACAAAACCCTTAAAGTCCTGATGTGGCTAAGATCCTTACGTCAGCCTCCCAAGAGGAGTTTTTTTTTAAGGCTGAAGCAGTATGACCTTTAACTGTTGCCCCTAGAGATAGCAATACGCACCGTTTTGTGTAGTATTGCCATATTCATTGAAACAATGACCATCATTGGGGAAAAATGTGTCCATGCTTCTCCCAGGAAGGCTGCTCCATGTCTGAGGCGTCCCCCTGCCACCCCCGCCCCCACCTCCAGATTCCCTCTTCCCTGACCCCTACTTTGGAGCTCAGCGGGAGCTCATGGGCTTGTTTTTAGCAATCCAGTCATCAGATCTCAGCTGCCACAGATCCAGGCCGCCTTCCCAAGGGCCAAGGCCAACCCAGCCCTGCCTCTCTGGGCCCTGTGGCCTTCTCCAGCCCCTCTCCACCCCATCAAGGGCACATGCCAGCTCTTCCTCCCATACCCGCTCCCTGCCTCCCTTTCCCTTCCTGAAGAGTTTAGAGGGAAACGACTGGTCCAAAGAGATGAGTTGGAATGGGTGCTGTGGCTCCCGCCCGTAATCTCAGCACTTTGGGAGGCTGAGGCAGGTGGATCACTTGAGGTCAGGAGTTCGAGACCAGCCTGACCAACATGGTGAAAGCTCGTCTCTACTAAAAATACAAAATTAGCTGGGTGTGGTGGCATGTGCCTATAATCCCAGCTACTTGGGAGGCTGAGGCAGGAGAATCACTTGAACCCAGGAGGTGGAGGTTACAGTGAGCCAAGATCACACCATTGCACTCCAGTGTGGGCAAGAAGAATGAAACTTCATCTCAAAAAAAAAAAAAAAGAAGAAGAAAGAAAGACACAGATAGGTTTATGAACGTGAAGAATCGTTGTTCCCATAGGATAGGCAGTGAACGATCTGTGTTCAGTTGAGCTTCACCTATCAACAGGTATTTGCAGACTTTCTCAAAGGAAAGAGGAGGAGGGAGACAGAATATCATCGCCTTTCAGTAACGTACTCCCTGTCTTCACTTTCCCATGTGGAATATCATATGGAAAGAAGGGGACTGACGTGCTTCTGTCCTTTAATGCTCCACTGTCCAGGAGATGGTAATGCTGCCCCAAGGACACAAAGCAGAGGCTCAGGTCAGAAAGTGGCTGACCCAGCATTGCTCAGTGACATGCCCTGAGGTCTGGACTGCAGCCTCAGACTCTCACCCAAGAGAGAGTTCAAGTCAAGAGGTTTGATGGGATGGGAGTGCTGACTGTTGGGCAGCCCTCTGGAGATGGGCTGCCTGGGTTCCTGTCCCTGCTCCCCTGCTTTTTTGTGACCTTGGGCAAGTTACTTAATGTCTGTTTCTGTATCTGAAAAGTTGGGTAATATGAGAATTTACTGGATGCTAGAGGTTCAGTCTAGGCCCTGTCACCCACAGCTGCACAGAAAGCCAACCACTGAGACAATTTTTGCCAAGGGAGAAGGCTTTATCTGGTGCTATAGCCAAGAAGGTAGCAGATTAGTCTCAAATCCGACTCCCTGACTGACTAAAATTAGGGGTTTAGAGAGCAAGGAAGAAATGTAACAATGTGTAAGAAAACCAGAATCAGGAGGGGTAAGGAAGCAATCAAGATGAATGAGGGGCTTGGCATCCCATCGTCTGGATGGGATCCTTGGGTGAGTTTCAGATCTTTGATACTGTTTGTTTGTTTTGTTTTGTTTTGTTTTTTGGGACGGAGTCTTGCTCTGTTGCCAGGCAGGAGTGCAGTGGCGTGATCTCGGCTCACTGCAACTCCACCTCCCAGGTTCAAGCAATTCTCCTGCCTCAGGCTCCCGAGTAGCTGGGACTACAGGTGCATGCCACCATGCCCAGCTAATTTTTGCATTTTTAGTAGAGATGGGGTTTCACCATGTTGGCCAGGATGGTCTTGATCTCTTGACCTCGTGATCCGCCTGCCTCGGCCTCCCAAAGTGCCGGGATTACAGATGTGAGCCACCATGGCCTGCCTCTTTGATACTTTTTGGGAGGACTGGGAAGTCCTTACCTGAGGAAGAAACTCAGATAAAACAAATTTAAGTGTCCAGCTTTAAGACCAGAAGGGCCATTTCTGTTTTCCCAAAAAAAAAAAAAAAAAAAAAACCTGTCTGTGGGACTATTGGGTTGGTTTCAATTAGGAGGATTAAATGAGATTATAAAGTACCTAGAACAGTACAGGCAATATAGAGTCCCATCAATGTTGGGTATTATTAGTCTGCCATTATCTCAATAATTTGGGGAAACTTACATATTTCTCTAAAATTTTATTTTCTCCTATGGAGAAAAAAGAATTTTAATGATATACATCTTACACAGTCCTTGTGAGTCTTCACTACAGTATGTGTAAAGCACCTTCTGTATCCAGACACAGAGAAAACATGTACAGGTTCCCAGAACTCTACAGGGTCTGTTCTGTAGAGCCGTGTTGCCTCTCTGATGAATGTTTCGAAATAACCGTAGACAGAATATACACGATATATATGCTGTGATCAAAGACAGAGTGAGAATTTTTATGGGAGAGTCATAAATGTCTCAAGACAACTACTAAATGCTTTTCTTAAGTCAATATTTTGAAGGCCAAAAAAAATCTACTGAATAAATATAAGAAAGAAGAAGGCTTCTAAAATCACACCGCATTTTTTAAACACTCAGTGACTAGTACTAGAACCTGATGGGTAACTTATTAGGATGTTTCTGTGACTAACAGCCAGAGAAGACCGCCGGGTGGTCAGAACTGGTCCTGGGGGTGCAGGACTGGCGTATAGCAGGTCTCAGCCATTGATGTTCCCCCTGGGTCTGTTGAGGAAACTGGCAGGAAAAACTCTAATCTTGGTAGTACTTTTAGTTCCTGTGAGCCACCAACATACACTGTTCCTAATCAGCATTTCCTACACAGTCTGATTTCCTCATTGTCCCCATGGTCTCCTCATTTCTGTGGCTATTGGGAATCTTTCCAGACAGGAAGCTGCTATTTTCATTAAGATCCTATCAGAGCTCAGATTCAAAGGAATGCTACTTAAAGGGAGTTCTATTCCAAAATAATGAAAAAAATGTCATGATTTTATGGCCTTCACCACATGTTCTACCCGGAGAAGACAAAACAACTAAGAAATCCATCTATCCTCCCACCTCCTGTCACCTACACGATTCTGTCCTCCGTTCTGGCTATGGCAATTTAGAAAACAGATGTGTTAGGAAGCCAGCCAGAGAGGGTTCACAGTTAGTTGGGTCCATGAGAGCTCCTTCCAGGCCCCCATCAGGACTTTCTGGCTGTTAGGACTTCCTGAAAGATGAGTTAGAGCGGAGAAATGCAGAGGGCTGGAGGCTTCCTCTGAGCTGCCCATTTGGATGCAAATGTCAGTTAAAGGTTCATTAGGCAGTCTGCATCTTCATCAGGTGGGGCGGGTCGCTGGGCAGGCAGGGCTGGCTGAGTGGTGATGGTGTCTGTTTTTCCAGTGAAACTCCCCTCTTGACACCTTGAACTCCCACCAGGCCTGGTTTCTAAGAGGAAAATGTTTTATCTGAAATTTTACCTGAACCTGGGAGGACTCCCTCTCCCGAGATAAACCTATCAGGCCCTCCTCCTTCCACTCTTGAATTGTAGAGTCCACTTTTATTCTCAGTGAAGGTTAAGAAAGTCTTAGCGCAGAACAGGCTGGAAATGTGGTGCTAGGTGCACCCAGTGGAAACTAGAGAGGATGGTGGGAGACATTTAACACAGACCTGAGGGTGCTCTGCCTACCCTGGGAGGTTTGCAACAGGAGGAACTCCTCTGTCTGTCTCTTCAAAGGGAAACCTCAAAACCCTTCCCACCCCAGGGGAGCCAAATCATCCTGCTGCAATGCCACGGGAGCCCCTTGTGGCCGTGGCACTAATGCACACAGAAGAAGTGACAGAATAATGAGCTGAAGAAACCCCCAGAGTTGGGTTTGCAGAGGACACAGACATGTTATGGAAAACAAGATAAATAAAAGAAAAAGCTTTTGTACCTTTCATTTGAACAGGGAGTAGATATTCCAAAGGCTAAGGTACTCTTCCCAAAAGCACACACCCAAACTGATTTTTATGTCTCCACGAGTTTCTCCATGAGAAAAAAAGCAGGCCAAAAAAGACATAAGAATTGTTCCTTTTGGATAGACTGTTGCCCCTGGCCCTTTCTTTCTGGCATGGATGTGGAGGCCTCCGTGTTGGTGCAGTGTGAACTGGCACTGAGAGAAGGAGAGAATCCTGCAGCCTGCGTGTGACTGGGCATGACATGTCCTGGAGCCCATAGAGAGGAGCGGAGCTGGAGAGAACTTGGGCCTTGCCTGGTCCAGGCCATTTAATTTACAGAAAAGTACACCAAGACCCAGGGGGCTTACAGAGCCCAAAGTCACATGGACAGGTAGCAGCAAGCAAGGGCTAGAACCACCCTTTCTTTCTTGGCCACCATGTGACCCCATGCTTCAGCCACTTGGGGTCCCCAGAATCTGAGATAAAAACCAGCGAGCAGAGAAAGACGCCTTCAGGGTGGAGAGCTCAGCAGTGCTCAGCGTGCCCCCAGGAGAGTTTATAAAGAGTGTGTCCGGTTCTTTGGGGTGACTGTTTCTTACTCAGAACCGCTTCTGTAGGACTGAGGTGCAGGCCCTGGGTGGTGCAGCAGCTGTGGAATCAGTGGCCACCCTGCCATCGCAGCCGCTGTCCTGCCAGGCCCCCTTAGGAAGACATCAGATGTGTACTAGAACAATCCTTATTCAATCAAGGACTGGAGGATGGAAATTGTCCAAGTTGGCCACACTACATCGCCTTGTTACTGGAGCAGACGAGGCAGTATTATTTGCTCTATTTTGCTTTGAAACATCCCAAGGAAAGACGTCTCCTCTTTGACTGCAGTAAGAATGCTTCACAAAGAGCACCTTGTACAGGATTTGGGGTGGGAGTGTGTGTGCCACACGGTGCCGGAGGGAGGCAGGAGGCTGGGGCAGCTCCTCCAAACCAGGCAATGGAGGTTTCTTTGTCCCTGCTGATCTCTGATTAAGCAACTTGGTGAAAATCCAAAAGCTCTTAGGAGAACAGGAATGGTGGCATTTGCTCTTCAGTGCTTGGAAGCAGATCATGTGAAGACTCTGAAGCTCTGAGAATCAAAACACAGCCACCTCATCAGTGAGTTCAAGTGCACTGGATGTGGGCCCAAGGCTGGAACAAGCATGTCTGCCCCCAAGGGAGTTCCCCTCCCGGCTGGTGCTGCCTTCAGGCTCAGGGACCCACCTGCTTCTCTACCCAGCAATCAGGGGCTCACACCAGTCTTCACCATGGCTACCACGTGGTGGTAATTTTTGGTTCATGGGTTTTGTTTTGCTAGAAATAGAAGTGAGCAAGTAGACAAAAGCCCCCTGTGGAAAATTCCTCTGTTGCTCCGTTCACGTTGGCTCAGCTTGCGTCACCTTCTCTCCGGCCCGCTGCCTCTTCCACCCATGGCCTCACTGGTCTGGGGCCTCCTCCCTGCTGCTCAGCCCATGTCCTTATTCAACTCTCAGGCCACCCCTGCAGAAATCCCATGCCTCCCCAGATAACCCCCCTGAGCCTTTGGGGTTCGCAGGCAGTGGCTGGAAGGCATGCTCTCTGGAAGAGCCGGGAAGGCATGCTCTCTGGAAGAGCCGGGAAGCCAGCCCAGGACTGGGACTTTCAGTCATGGGAACACACAGAGTAAGAAAACGCCTGAGTGTCTTGTTTTAAAGCCTCCTCTTCTCCATCCCGCGAGGACTCTTCTGTTTCGTTACTGTACGTCTTGATACTCTAGAAATTTCATTTTGAGGAAATTAACAAGCCGTTTAGGAACTGATACATGGGCACATTTTCTGACAACTTTTCTCCTTTTAAAGAGTATGACACTGAACACACAGCTCCCTTGATAAGTTGTAGGCATGCATGGATGGAAGTCAAGAGTGTCAGGTTTTTGATTGTGTTGTCTTTTGGCCGAATGTGTAATTGAGCTGTGGGACTTTTCCATACCCCTGACAGAAGGGTTGGCCATGGAGCGCGGCGCTTATAGATGTCTTTCTGTTGGAAGGGCCCGCTGGAGGCAAAGCCCCACTCTGGGCTTGTGAACACTAAAGCTCTCCCTCAGCTCTAGAGTGTGGACCCTGAGTTTGCTTCCCAGCTCTGCCACTCACGAAGTCTGCACCTTGGGCAGGTCACAAAAATCTCTGTGCCTCAATTTTCCCATCTGTGAAGTGGGAGGAATATAATCACATATCTCATAGGGTTTCTAGGAGGAGTAAATGAGCTATATTTTATAGAACAGCATCTTAGACACATGGCATTTAATGAGTATTAGCTATTATTTATTTTATTAGTAGTATATAAACTGATTGTATGAGAACAGTCTTCCTGTGGCCACAGGTCCAACAGTCACTAAATTCTTTTTGACTTTATTGTGTAATCTTTTTCTTTCTTTACATGGAAACAAACCTACTCTGATTACTTATTACCACTCCAGATCAGTCTGATTTAAAAACAGGGCTCCGTGTGGCGGCTCACATCTATAATCCCAGCACTTTGGGAGGCCAAGGCGGGCAGATTGCTTGAGGTCAGGAGTTTGAGACCAGCCTGGCTAACATGGCGAAACGCCGTCTCTGCTAAAAATACAAAAAATTAGCTGGGCGTGGTGGCACATGCCTGTAGTCCCAGCTACTCAGGAGCCTGAGGCAGGAGAATCACTTGAACCCTGGAGGCAGAGGTTGTAGTAAGCCAAGATTGTGCCACTGCACTCCAGCGTGGGTGACAGAGCAAGACTCTATCTCAAATAAATAAATAAATAAATAAACAAACACAGGAAGGCTCCACGCATCATGTGCATTTTGCCAGCTTGCACTTTTAGTGTTGTGTGTGTTTTCCCTGGCATGTTTACAGCTTCATAAATTAGCCAGCTGTCCTACAGCATCAGGCCGACAGGAGTACTTCCTCTTAATTGGCAGTGGGAAAGTGGAGACGGGGACTGATGACCCACTGTGTATGATTCCCACACTGAGCTCAGATGCAGCCCCCCAGAAATAGGAAACCTACCCTTGGAGCCCTTCCCATCCCAGCATCAGCAGCTAGAACCATGGGACCCCAATCAGCCTCATGGCCATCACTGCCCCTCTATGGCCACAGGTTTCTTCATCTCACGCCTCCACCTATTCAAGGCTAAGGAGGCCAGGTGTCGCATACCACTCACCTGCATGCTGCCAAAAAAGCAGCTCATTTTAAACCTAGTGTGCTCCCCCAATTCTCCTGTTAACCAGTTTCCCCTGTGTGCTTCACTTTCAGACGGGTATGCTTTTTCTCAAGAAGAACACGGAGCTGTGAGTCAGGAAGAAGTCATCCGTGCTTATGACACCACCAAAAAGAAATCCAGGAAGAAATAAGACGTGAATTTTCCTGACTGATCTTAGGAAAGAAATTCCATTTGTTGCACCCGGCGTTAAAACATCTTTGTCAGAAAAGACTGGCGTCAGCAGCCAAAACACCAGAAAACACATTTCTGTGGCCTTAGCCAAGCGGTTTGTTAGTTACATATTCCCTCGCAGACCTGGAGAGTACACCGCAGGGGAAGCCATCTTTTCCCTCCCAATTTGTCTGCAGTGCTTAGCCTGACTTTTGTGTACGTCGTCATGAAGCATTCAACTGTGCTCTGTGAGGTGTGAAATTAAAAACATTATGTTTCACCAATATTTAAACATCAGTACTAGTTGTCCCGGGAGAAGGGGAAAGGAGTTTTATGTTGCGTGAGAGGCCCATCCTGTGTAATTGGAGCAGGGCACACTTGCTTCCTGTTTGGTTAACTCACAGATTAAGTCCAACGGGCCACATGCAGACTTCACTGTAGGCAGGTTGCTCTCCTGTTTCGTTTGTATGAAGTTGGCATAAACTTCTTGATTGCAGTGAAATCACAAAAATCTATTCCAGGGTGGTCAACGTGAGAACATTTATTTGAATCTCTTTGCCACATTTCCAGCAGGGTGAACCCACTGATGCTCTGGCAGAATCTTACGCACCCTCTCCAGGTGCACTCGGCCCAGTCCCGCCACCGTGTCCAGGTGCCCCTCACCCCCACGTCTGCTGCATGGCTGGCCATGGCGCTCAGTGCATGGCAGCTGGTGGGCAGCCAACCCAAACCCGCGCCTTTCCTTGTTCCACTGCAGACTCAGATACAGATGCGAAAAATTCCTTCTTCCACCGCCCTTCTCGTTCTGTAAAGAAAAGAAACATAGCCTTTTCTGCATATATTCTAAATGTCTCTTTGCCTCTGTCTGACATGGGGCCACCACGCAGGTCAGAGTGGTGGTAGAACCCTTCAGCACTCCCAGCCGCCGTCAGGCTCTGAATACTCACCTCCCAACCTCCGGACTGCCCGGCCTTTGGCATCCACTTATATTAGAACCCATGCTTGTTTCAGAGCACATTTTGGACTTTCACTGTTGGGAACTGAATGGATTTATAACGTGCCTGTGCAGCGACGGAACGCACCTGTCGCTCTTAGCTCTAGAGTCAGAGGATGAGTAAACCCAGTTCCAAGAGTATAGGACATTGAGCGGGGAGAACAAGATAGCCACAGAAGTCCTCAGAAGGAGAAGGAAGGGCACGGAGACACTGAGAGGAGGACACAGAGGAATCGCCACCAGATCTCTGCAGTAGAAACTCTGAAATAAGCCTGAGACCCAGACAATTGTCATGATCAGCCCAGTGTGCATTAAAGCTTAAACAAGACCTTTACACACAGTTTTAATTCCAGACGTTTCAGGGAAGCACCTTTTTAAAAATATACTGACATGGTTTCCTTTCTGTATCCCATCTGTGTTAGACACAGGTACCTATCGGCATACGGCGCATCCTGAATTCTAAGACAAGGAAGGGAAGTGCTGAGTCACTGACTTTCCCAACTGCAGAGTCCCACACTCTTAAATCTAACCAGAACCTAGATGCCCTCAGGCATGAATGTGAGCACCTGGAGCCCTTAATAAACAACCTGCCTGGAGCCCTGTTCTCTGCTCTGCTTGCAAACCAGATTTCGGATGGCCTAAATACTTCTGGCAACTGTTACTGGTGAAAATGGGAGTTGAGAGCATGTTTTGGATTTTCACTGTTGGGAACTGAATGAAATTATAACGTGTCTGTGCAGCGAAGGAGCACACCCATCACTCTTAGCTCTAGAGTCAGAGGATGAGTAAACCCTATGGGGATGAACGTGCTAAATTAGGAAATAAGACATTAGTGCACTTTGCTTCCTAACCCTTCATTTTCAGAAATCTACAACTTATTGGGCATGGAAATAATTTAAAATATGATGTGCATTGACTAAGAAAACCAGTCTTCACCTGTGAGGTGACCAGAATGCAGAGAGGGCCTGAGGGGCAGCAGAACAACGCCATTCACATTGCTGAGGCTCCCAAAAGGGCCGTTTCTTTCTCCCCAAGGTGCATAAAGCATTTTTAAATACTAGAGCACCCAGCAAGACTGAAGGACTGTCACGCAGGAGCTACAACACGAAATGTGCCTATGACTAACACGACAAACCCAGAAAGATGATGACCAAAATACCCAGAGGAGAAATGAAAACTGGAACTGAATGTGCTTTAGGCATCTTAACTGTTAGTGCCTGGTTTCGTTTGGGAACTAAGCCCGTTTGGAAAGAGTGGATTAAAAACTCAAATCTTTGTCAGGCAATTAGCTCTGTCTTGAACTTGAAGCCTTCCAAATCAGAATTATGAATTTAAGTGTGTGTTTGTGTTTGGGGATTTTGTTTTTATTTCTTAGAGTTCATATTTTTCTGGGATTTAAGTATACAGGTGTATTTACCTATTCACTTGAGAAGAAGACTAAACAGTCTTTGCAATGATGACAGATGCATAAGGAAGAAAACATTAAAAGAGATGATTTTCTGTCCTCTTATGTGGTTGAGCA